ATCACTAAATCACACTTCTCAAAATGTTCCACTCCCAACTGACTGTCTTCTCCAACTGGTTATGATTAAAGTCAGTGGGCTCAAAATCTAGGCATCAATAATTTTCTTTTAATGTCATTTTGCCAAAGGAAAACCAAAGGTTTTATGGTGTTGCAGTGATTTGAGAGATGAGGTGTTTTCATAGTCACATGGAATTGGAGTAACCCTTAGAGGCCAGTGTGTTTTCAACCCTTCTTTTAACTTTGATGCTATTCCTATTAATTTATGCATAAAGTTAGTCAACCAGACAGGGACTCTCTGGAAATCCAAAGAAAATATATTATCATGCTCCTCCAAGAAAAGTGTGGAAAATCATATACATTACTTAAAAAAAATAATCCTAATGGGGTCAGTCATTCCCATAACTTCTCAGAGTGTTCTTTTGGTCATGAATTTCAAATATTCAAGAGGGATGTATTGCACAACACAATCCTTTTGGTTCCTTTAATCAACCAAGGTCACAACACAAGTTATCAATAAGACCCTGCCCAGCCAGGTGGATGGAGTATTCAGTGGCTACAACGGTCTCTCACACATGGTAGAAACACCACCACCAACAGGGAGTGAAGTTCTATCATAAGATGGTAAAATGAACCAGCACAGATTCAACATCTGTGCTCTTCAATCCATCTTGGTGCCGTTCGTTTGGCAAAGTCTATCATGGAGAGTGACTAGTAGACATCAGAGGATCACCATTTGGTAATAATTAAATTACCATTTGGTGATAATAAGTAACCACGTTTCCCATAGACAGAGCTGGCCAAGTCCACTAGTCTTGCTGAGAGCATTCAGGAATCATCAGACAAAGTATTTTTAAATGGTGGAAAGCAGGTGCTTGGATAGGACTTTCTTTTCTTGCACACCAAGGCCCTTTGGCATGTATGAAGTTACTGTATTTCACTGTACTAGAGCACAATACAGATACTGCAAAATTATAATACTGATTTTGAATATACTATTCAATTGCTCCTTTTCAAATGAAATATAGTTAGTCTTACACTTCTCCTGGGGAAGTATGAGACTTCTTTAGTTTAAAAAGACTGAAGTTAGATAAAGTTAATAAATTTTTCATTCAAACGGTAATAAAAGAAACTTTTTTCTATAATGTAAAACTTTTAGAAGCATTAATATTGGGATCCAGGATTCTCTATGTTTTCATTTGTGTTTCTGTACCAACATCACTAAGAAATCAGATACTCTTTGTTATAATATTTTATTTCATACATTTTAGGGCTTTTTTCCTACTTTGAATTTGCCAAATTTAACAAGAACATTTAATTAAACTCTTTGATAAAGAAATAAAAATTAAAGTTTACTAAATCTCTGGAAATGTCCCTTTAGAGAAGACATTAAATTATGTAGTATTAAATGGATTCTCTCTTGGACCAAGCCTGAGATTAATTTTCCCCTGAAGACCTCAGGTTTGCAGATGGTCTTTCTGATTGACATTTGTATTAATACACAAATTGCACAGAAACAAAACAAGCTCTCTGAAACTGTTGCACATTCTATGTGCTGTTTATTCACATTCTCAAAACTGACTCATGTCCTGGACTCTGGCCTTCCTAATGAAGACATGGACTTCTGTGGTCAAGGGCAACTTGTCTAAGGGAAAGAGAGACTCTACCATGAGCAATTTAGAATATCACTATGCCAACAGATAAACATTTTCCAAAGGAAAAATAAGTAATACTTACAAAAGAAAATTTCCCCAGAATAACTGTGATTTTCTTACAAAAGGAAAATTACCGTTTTTTAGGAACAATAGCAATTGCTGTTCAAAGAGGAATGTACGTGTCAGTGTGTTGTCCTATCGTGTGTCCATAATGTAAGTCTATATGTGTTTCTCTCATAGGAACTGCTGCTCTACATATGGAGCATGGAAGATGAGCTCCCAAACTCTCAGCCTGATCTAAAGATGGACAGAGCAAACCTGTCCCTGAGAAAATGAGCATCAGGGTTGCTCTGGATTATATGTGGGCATGGGCATGGGTATGTGCTACACTTACTGCATACAGGGAGATGAGTCCACTGTGCTCATCTAAAGACATGTTTAGTCAACAGAGTTTGCTTCCCTTGAGATCTGGTTAACATCCTGAATAATAAAATGTTATGTGCTTGGTAAACAATTAGCCTTCTCCAATATGAAATGAGCCATACTTTACAGCTGGCTCTTGTATAGGGCAGGTATGTAGCCATAGGGACGACTCTGAGCAATCATTCCAGCATGAGAGGGGAAAAAAGAATCTCATGTTGTCCTTTTGAAGACTCCAGATCTATACTCTGGAGACAGCAGAGCTTGCATGCAGTGTTTTCCATTTACACTGAAATCCTAAGCTACAGGGAAATAGCATACAGATGTGCTGTTTGGGATTGGAGGAGATGCTTTCATGCCAGAGTCTACAGTCAGGAATATGATCACATTTTAGAAGTACTAGCATTGTATTTTTCACAAACTATCACTTATGCATAAACATAAATAATTAAAAATAAGGCATGGGGTAATAAATATCATTAGCTCCAAAGTATCCATTCTTTAGTTACAAATCAAAACATTGAGCACTTGTATTTCTGAGAGCCTCCAACCAATGTTACCTTCAATCAGCAAATGAAGATCCTCCACACTACCCTACCAGATGTTCATGGTGTAAATAGATGGTGACTCTGGAGGCCCTGAGACCCTATAGGGCCTTCAGGCCTATTCTAGAAGGTTTAATGAGCAATAGTTTACAATTTTTGAGGTGTGTGTGTGTGTGTGTGTGTGTGTGTGTAGGACTAGGTATGTGTGCATGTGTGGGGGTATATGTACATGTCTATGTGTACATGTGAAAGTCCAAGGACAACTTTGGATATAATTCCTCAGGTGCCATCCATTTTAGTTTTTGAGACAGAGCCTCCCATTGGCCTATTCTCAACAAGTAAGCTAGGCCCCTTGCCAGAAAGCCCCAGGGAGCTGCCCGTCTCTATGTCCCTAGTGCTGGAATTACAAGTACGCTCCACCATGTCCAACTTTTGACATGGGTGCTGGGGATTGAATTCAGATCTTTGTGCTTGCGTGGCAGATACTTTACTGGCCGAGCTGTCCTCCTCCAGCCCCAATTTTTAAATTTTAATCATTACTTGCATTTAATGATTAAATTAAATCAGTAAACTGTATCCACTGTAGCTTTTATAATCCAGAAGAGCTTGCTGAAGCTAGACACGATAAATGAGTGACTTTTGCCACAGGATTTTTTTTTCTGGAGTGTGTGTGTGTGTGTGTGTGTGTGTGTGTGTGTGTGTGTGTGTGTAGGGGGGATAATTTTATCAACACTTAAGTCATCCATGAGCTGCCAGAGAAAGAGACAAATCATGAATGCTTCTCCTGTGGGCAGAGTTAGCGCCACCCCCAGCGTCCGCAGCTGGCTCCCTATTAATGTACCCACAATTAACCCGGGGTGCGAGTGACTTTCAAAGTGCTCAGGTTGTTTGCTGGTTGTTTTGTTTTCAGATTAACACAACACATGACGTTCTAGATAGAGATTCGATGTAATGCAAATAATCAAGATAGAATACTTAACAGTTCAAGAACTGAAATACCATAAGAATTAAAACATGGGTTTCACATCTTGTCCAAATATTTGCCACCAAGTACTTCAGTATTAGCTAGAAATACTATCTTTCATTTTTGTGGGAAAAGCCTTTAATGTTTTTTTTAAGTTACCTGCTTTTCCCCCCTAAAGTGTACTATAAATGATGCACGTGCATCTCTTTCCTTCTTCACAAATGCTGATCTCGTACATTTCTGGCAATATTTTAACTTTATTAAATATTATTGCCTGGGTCATGAGCAGTTATATCAGTGTATAAATTTATGAAGTGACACATTTTTTAGTGCCACCCATCTATGTCAATTTACTCCATAATAACACATTCCATCAAATTAAACTGCAAAATATCTCCCACATTTGTTTTACATTCTATACATATGGCTTATGAATAGCAAAATTTTGATGAATTCCAGCTGCTTTAAATATGCAGGCCAACTCTTATATAACAGATTCTTTTCAATTCTTATTGTATTCACTGAGGCCCATTTTAAGTGGGCCACCTGGTAGAATAAAGAACCAATGTATGAAGGAAAACCCAGCAAAATAAAACAAAAACCACTCTGCCTAACTTAAGGCCACTTTCCCCATCTATATTGTTCTCATGTTTCTAAATAAGAGGGAAATAACCCTAATCTTTTGGAAAAGTTACATTAAAATTTAACCAAGTTAGCAACTCTACAAAGCACCAATTGCTCATTTATCTATTGTAATAAGATCATTAAAATAACTTGCACCATTCTCGTGTGCTGCCCATTTTCATAAACATATAATGCGCAGTTTGGTCTCCTTGCACGATCGGCACATTCTTCCCACTTCCATGCAGCTGGAATTCATCAAGGATGTAGGAGCCAAGTCAAATGTTGACCCCACCCTCCTCCATCCATTTCAAGGCACCTTCAAAGCCAGTGCATGGATCTAGTTCAGTTTTGCCAACAAAGCCTACTATACTGCTATTTAAGACTCCAGTTCGGGGGTTTTATAACTGCATATTGACGTGCACACTTTGATTTGGGGTCAGAAACTTCAGTTGTCCTGAGTTTTATCAGGCGAGCATACCCTTTTGTGACAAATCCTCCTCATTCAACCTTTTTGCCTTTGCTCTCGGAGTTGGCCTCTTTCTTTTGAGCAAGCTCCCTGACATGCCCCATAACCAGCTCTGAAAACACATTGTTATTTCCTTTCCAAAAGGTCAAACCGAGCAGCCGCTGTAGCCATCCACACACATCGCCCCCAACATTTGCATGCCCCATATAATCCCTGTACGACAGCAGAAGGTGGCCATTCCAACGTGCACAGAATCACTCTTGTCAAGACACATGCAGTAGGGGGGGCTGGGGAGACAGCAGAGCTCCAGGAGGGCAGAAAACTTACTTTGTTGCTTCCCTGTGCATGCAGCCACAAGGAAGGAAAAAAAAAAAGAGAGAGAAACATGTTAAACACAGATTTAGTTTAAAATTACGAGGTTTTCCTTGCTAGATCAGAATCCAAATGAATAAGTGAACTCCTCGCTGACATGCCATTGTGTGTATCCAGAGCTCACGCACAAGTCAAAGAATCCACGAAGGGTAAGTGAAATCATAAGTTGACAAGAGCGGAACCCCCCACCCCCCACTTCTACTCAGAATACTTGGGGTATGGGAACCAAGCCAGAAAGAACTGGTTTGAATCGGTAATAAGTGAACCACTAGCATAAAAGGCAGAGAAGTTAGCGTGCTTGCTGGCCTGCCTTTCCTGACAGGCCCTCCTCCAACAGGCTGAGCAGTGGAAAATTTCATCAGCCAGTACGTTTTTTTAAACAAGCACTGCATCCTTGGTTTCAAAGAAGGTGGAATTAAAATAAAAAAAAAAAAAAAAAAGGAAGCAAGTGCTGAGGAAAGGAGTGGGTGGTTTGGGGTAACGGAGGAAGCAGAGCAAGTTACAGCCTCCGTCTGGGCCGTTCTATTCTTTGGTAAGTTACGAGTTTGTGTCTTGGGTTGGCATGGGAAGTCAAGACTGTATAGCAGGGCCTCAGCCAAAATAAACATGAGTCCTCATTCAATAAAATGGATCTGGAAAGGTTAGTCACAAAAACGTAGACATTTCTAAAAGCAACAACTGTGTGTGGAGACAGAGCAGCCAGGGGCGAGTGGCAGCCAATGACTCTCCTGTTGCAAACTGGAGCTGTGAGCGTATGATTTACATCAAACAATTTAACTCACATCTGGCCTAAAAAAATAAAACGGTGATTCATGACTCCCAGAGCAGCCTGAGTCCTCGCAAGGTCAGATCCTGTGGGGGAGATGTGATGGGATGTGAGCCTGGAACAGATCTGAGCTCTCCTCTCAGGGGTCCAGAAAAAATGTCTCACTGAGATGTGAGGTTGCAGAGAGCTATGAGAGAAGTGTGTGGATCAGAGGGGAAGACTGGGAACAGGAATGGACCAGCTTAGAGAGCTGGCATTTCCATTTAGGTTGAGGATATGAAGGGGGAAAAATACACAAAGAAACACTCTGGGAGAGTGGGAAGGCAATGATCTCAGGAGAGGCTTCCCTTGAGCTCAGTGCCAGGTGGTGACCTTGAGGAAACCATCTCTTCCGGGGATCACTGCAGCCGTCATATTTAACAAGGAAAATATAAAGGCACTGATAAAATCATGTAGAGAAGTTTCTTAAGCATTGGGGGTTGCCACAGTACAGCTATTAACACACCAACTTATCAGACACATAAATAAGGACAAGAATGAATGAAGGAAAAAGTAAACAAAACAAAGCCTGAAGGAATCCTTCCTGAAGATGATGCCAACCTTTCAAAAAGGCAGTAAGGGCCCCACTGGGAATTTTACTATGAGTAGAAGACTGTTTTAGAGAATAATAGGAGCCTGGCTCTCCTAAGAAGAGCAATATTGCTGAAAATACCTCAGACAGATGGGGTTTATTGCATTCCACAGCAGAGCAGCTTCTGATCTAGCAAACCGGTTTCAGGGATTCAACCACGTATTCCTACACACTAGGGAGTGACTAGCTTCCCCACTCAGTGGCGGATGCTCCAACGTGTAGCAGCAACAGTGATGTAACTGTGTAGGATGCCCTGGTCCTAAATCAAAGAAACACAGAAGTGGAGGAAGTGGTGTGCTTGGCCGGTTACTATTTCATTCAGTTAGCTCCCAATCATCTATTTGGTGAGGGGCATGGCAGTCCTGGATGGTGGATGATGTTTTAGAATGCTCTCCACTACTCTAGTTGACAACAGCGTATGTTTAAACCCTTGAAAGTATTTTTCCACAAAACGGTGAATAGGACCTTTGGAATTGGGCACACAGCTGCACAAGGTTCTGCGCGAAGCACTGCTGGGAAAAAAAAGCCATGTGGAGTGGGGTGTTAGATCTTCCCACTCCTCCACAGACTGTTGAATGACAATGTATGAGTGGCCATCACCTTTGTAAATGTTTGTGGAAGTCCATGGCCATTCCTCTTCTTCCTACTTGGGAAGACACAGGGACCCTTTCTTTTAACTATTTTTTGACATAGAGGAAAGCCATTATAGCATCTTCTAAAAGTAACTTATTTCTGAGGTGCCAAAAGGACCTTAGTGGAAGCTGGTTTCATCCCACAAGGGGTTCGAAAACCATTGGTTATAGCTGCAGAGTCCCCAGTTCACGGGGAGAGTTGGCCGTCAGAGGTCTTTGACCTTCTACCATTATGTTAAGCTTCTGAAGAAGCAGTCCATGCTGGTTCACACTGGAGGATATATAACAGAAACCTCTATATAGAAACTGTGTGTGTGTGTGTGTGTGTGTGTGTGTGTGTGTGTGCGCGCGCGCGCGCACACGCGCGTTTTGCAGAGAATAGGAACCAATTAAAATGCTTGGAGGTTTCTTACTTAACTGACTTTGCACCAAATCATTTCCAGGGCAAGCCTGGATCTCACATTGCCTTTTTCCCATGGCTAGAGGACCAGCTTCTAAGAGCAGGCATGAGGCTATTGGCTTGCCTGACAGCTCCTAGGCTAAGCTCTGCCCTCCTGATTCAACCTTGAAGGTTGGCCTGCCCCCCAGGTATTCTCAGGACTCCCTCTGAACAACTAGTCTTCCTAGACAATGGTGAGAAAGTTCTCTCTGACACAGTCAAATCCATTAACAACTTCCAAAGAAAATTTAGTCATAAAATTGAGAATTGCAGCTTTGTACGTACATCCAGGATGCCAAGGAATAATAAAGGCTATGCAGCCGTGAGCACAGTCACCAGCTGAAGGCATGTAGCTTGTTGTAATGTATCAGAACCCTCTCTCTGAGGAAGGTGCTGTTTGGAGCTTAGAAAAGTATAAACGACTGGAGAGTTAGTCAAGGTGCTAAGTCACAGGGCAGTGTCAGGATTTAAACAAAGAATGGATTTGCTGCCATGTCTACCCCATTTCACTGCACAGTTCATGTTTCAAATAGTTTGAATTTGGAATTCCTTAATGTCATATTGAAAGCCAACAATATTGTGCCCAAAAGTTGTGTTTATCAGATCATGCTCCTCAGATCAATTCACATGTATTTATAATTAAATTTATGAGAAAAGGTTTATGCGCGACCGGCCACATTCTCATGAAGACCTAAGTTCAGATGCCTAGAATTCGTGTAAAGCCTTGGTGTGATGGTGCAGGCCTGTGATTACAGTGATGGAGATGTGGAGACAGGAGGATTCCTAGGTCTGGCCGAGCCAGCTAGTCTAGGTGAGGTAAGCTCCACAGAAGAAAACATGGTTAGAAAAGGAAAGGGATGTCAAAAGGAGGATACATTTTCAAAAAGAAAATCCCCAGAGACATGATTTAGGAGACAAGAAACAAGGTCACAAAACATTTTGATATGAGTGACAGAAAATCAACTATTACATGGAGACAACAGAAACTAGAGTGGTGATATTATTTAAAATGGACACATAAAATCATAACAAACTAATTGGCCTCAAACATTTTATTCAAACTGAGTGATAGGGAGTTATCTAAATGATATCAAATTTATACACATGCTTGAAAAATGATGGAAATAGAAACTTTTTTTCCAGAATGGGGAGACAGATGACTCAGGCATAAACACTTGCCTCGCAACCATGAGGACCTGAGTTCAGATCCCTCAGAATTCAAATAAACAACCAGGCATGGTGGTACGCATGTCTGTCACCTAGCAAGACAAGATGAAGGGCAGATATAGACAGATCCCTGGAGGCTCACAGCCAGCTAGCCTGGTCCAATTGGTGAATTTCCAGGCCAATGAGCAACCCTGTCTTAAGCAAAAGGAGGGAGGCATCTGTGTTCCAGCTACCCCATGTTGTCCTCTGACCTCCACACACACACACCGTGTGCATACATACATGCACACCGTATACAGATACATGCTCACAAATGTACATATCCAGCCACCCACATATCACCCCTCCCCCCAACACACACAGCTTATAAATAAGGATTTTCTCCCTAGTCAAATAGAGGCATCTGTATAGAAAGCAGAGCTATTTCTCTACCAGGAAAGTAAATGACTGGTTTGTTAGTGACTCAGTGGTTTGTTGCCATGAAAGCAAAACATACTATTCTGTAGTTCTAAAATTTTGCTTAATGATATCAGTCTTTAGGTGAATCTGATTTTATAATTTCTACATTAGGAAGAACTACTGAAAGCTATCACTTCTAGGTATAATCGAGTGTGTCCACATACGAAATCTGTAGCTGAACAACCGACTTGATGGATCTCAACAGTTGGCCGCCATCAGACATCAAGTGCCAGGCAACTGTTTGAACAGGACCTGAGGGAATGCACAGCACATACAAAACACCAACACTGTTCTTGAAGAAAACTGAGAAAAGCAACAGTTGGTACATACTGCCAACTTTAACTTCCTGTTTCGTTTTTTGGTGTGCAGTCAATATCTACTTGTCTCCATCTCCTAAGTGATTGGCCCAAGTATGTGCTGGTAAGCACATGAAGATTCCACCCAAAGAGTCAAAACAAACTGTGTAGCATAACTCTGAATTTGCCTAAAGTGGAGTATTAGAATTAAAAAATAGAAGACGTTTCTTAGATTGCCTTCTTGTTGTATAGCTACGGATGAGCCCATGAATATATAGATTTATAAAAGTAATTTTTAAAAGTTTTATAAAAGCTCATGGGCAGATAAATACTTTTTCTTTTCTATGACAGTTTTCCCCTAACAAACATACATCACATAATTTCTCTAATTATTTTACTTAAAAAAGTATAATTTACAAAGTCATGATCTAAAACATACTTAGATGTAAGAAAAATATACATATAGACATACAAACACATATACATTGATATACTACTAAGTATACCTGGAAATTAGAAAACAGAAAAAAAAAACCCACAATCTGACTAGGCTATAATATATAGTGTTTGTGTGTGTGTGTGTGTGTGTGTGTGTGTGTATACGTTCATGTGTGTGTTCCTGTATGTTTGTATAGGTCAGAGGTTGGTGTCGAGTGTCTTCAATTATGGCTTTCAACCTTATTTTTGAGACAGGGACTCTCACTGAACCTGAACCTTGCGAATTTGGCTAGACTGGTTAGCAAGAAAGGCCCTGGGATTTTCCCTTCTCTAACTCCTAACACTGGAATTCCAGGTGTAAAACACTAAGGCCTTTTATGTGGATTCTGGGGATTCAAATTTGGGTCCATGTGCTTATACAACGGGAGTTTTACTAATTGGACAATCTTCCCTGGGCCCTTGTATAATAACCTTCACTGGTTGCCAAAAGTAGTGGTTAATAATGAAAATGATAATGATCATAATTATTTTTATACATGAAAATAAGAGTGCTCCTTTATGCATGTGTCATTTTGTGTTTTCTGTGCGTTATCTTACTGCATTGCTGACCACTCTACAGAGGACTTATCACTATGCATTTTAATAAAAATCTCTGTGTATGTAAACAGTATGTACTACAATCAATGTGCATAGAAATATAATGATTTGCAATCTAGATAAGTGTCACCTGGAATTTTGAAAAGAGTACTGATATGAAAGTCTTGGGGGGAGGATATGCCTGTGGGAATCTGTATGCACACACATGAAAGAAGTTGGTCAACAATATAGAAAATGAGACAGACATACACCTGGATACCTTACCATTGAGAACGCATCATATTTAACTTCTCTTTAGAGGGCATAGAGCATGTTTGGAAGATTCATTGCTTTAGGTATTAACTAGAGAGGTGTAGAATGGAGAGGGGTTTATGCTTGAGCCAAAATATGAGGGGACACATTTTTGTACAAATCTCAATGCTGTCCTTGAAACTTCATTGAGTTCCAGTGTGACACCATGGACATGAAGCTCCCCACATCTTAAGTGTTCCAGTTATCCTTCATTTCAGCCATATGTCAGATTTTGTCTTGAAAAGACTTGTATCCTACCCTGAGCCTAGAAGGGATCCCACTGTGCATGATCAGTCCTAGACACAGACAGAGAGCCAAGTAGGCATGTGAGGGGCATGCTGCATTTAACTCCTTGGGGATGGATCTTAGCAGGTTAGTTCTGAGAAGAGACATGGATTCATGGCAAGATTTAGGGAGCAGCATGTAGGTGGAGAGGAATGGAAAAGAAAGGGAGGGAGACAAAGAGAGGGAAGGAGAGGAGGAAGAGAAAAGGGAGGGAGGGAGAGAGGGAAATGTGGAAGGCTGGCACACTATGTTAGTTGGTGTGAGCAGACAATGGAGGGACTTCTGAAGTCTAGTTTTAGAGATGTCTGTGTAACATTACATTTTGTAAAGAGCACAAAGACAAGGCCTGTTTATTAACTTGAAGGAGAGAAGTGTCTCCCAGACACTTGAAGTACATTAATAAAGATAAGTGGGAAGAGCTATGTATTTTTTTCTGTTCTTCACACTCACAGTGACATTACCCAGAGCCTGAATCAGACATAACTAGCAATACAAGTAATACCGACACAGTAGAAGAAGCCTTTATAAAAATGAGTAGGCTTTAAAATGTAAATATAAAATATTATTATGATGAATGATAGTACCCTAGTTTTATATCAGCTATGGGATAATGTAGAGAAGACAAATTTTTAATAGAATTAAAATCTTTCTAAAAGCACATTATGTTGAAGTAGAATGGGATATTTTCTTTAGCAAATGTACCGAGTAGCTTTTGGAGAAATTTGATGGAGAAAAAAAAAAGCATCAAAAATATCAATGCAAAAAGAATAAGGCAGCATCAGTAAAAAGAGGCCAAATTAAGTAAAAAAAAAAAAAGGGTAGTTGTTTTGCTAACTTACAGAAATGAATACATTTTCTTCAATGTGGTGTGCAATGATTTTTTTAGATAAGAAATATATTCAACTTACTAAAGATTTATCTGGATAGACCCCAGCTCTTAGCAGAGATGCTTTCCAGCTGTCCACATCCTCCTGGGAATCACAGGCCAACTCCAGGAAACGATAGTCTTTGTATACATTCCTGGAGTTAAAAAAAAAATACATGCATTTAGCTAAGAACCAAATTCAAAATGATCTCAGATCTTTGCAGACACCAATGACCATTCCAAAGGTTAGTTCCCTGAAAACCGCTAGATTCGAGCACAAACCTCTCACTGCATTTTAAAATAATAAGCCAGCTCTGATGTGTACTTCTCACAGGATTCTTTTTAATAAATCATACAGTGAAGATCTCACAGTTATTTACAGTGCTAAGATTTAAACTGAAGAGCCTGTAGAAAGAGGACATCAATTTGTAAATACAATTACAATCTTTCTCTTGGTCCAAGAGTGCAGAGGAAGGAGCTCCGTGGTAGGACACTTACCTAGCATGAGTGAGACCCTGTGCTCAATTCCTAGCTCCACGAAAACACAGACAAAGGAAACACTGGGGATATTTGCTGATGGGCAGCTGTGCTCTGGAGAAAGCACTTGCCACTGTCCGATAATTAGGTCAGTTTTCTTACTAAATAGCTTATAAAACTTGGGAAAGTACAGTAATAATCCTATAAATCTAAAAACAAAACAAAACAAAAAGTCTATGACTTGGCTGTAGTCAGAGACCAGATGTTCCTCTGGGTGTGAAAAGCCTGGTCACCAGTACTGACAGGTGAGGAGGTGCCTTTTGGTGTCATCATAACTAGGACAATGCTGGAGTTTTATATTTTCTTCCAGATAATAAAACAATGCATAGTATGTAATAAATACCAACATTTTAAATTTGAAACCAGACAAAAGAACAAAAATAAGGATAAGCATTCAGGTTCCACTACGTATAGATAATCTTGTTTTCTTATAATTTTCTATTCTGAACATTTTTGGTACAGCTGAGGTTCCCTCTCTCTCCTTTCTTCTCTAACACTCTTTTAGTCCCATGGTGCTCGGGTCTCCCGAACGCTGGGGTCTCCCGAACACTGGGGTCTTCTGCTGCAAGTGGGCTACACTTTCACCAATAGTCTCTCCTGGGCTCTCTTCATAGTGCCAAATCTCAACTCTTGCACGACCCCTTCAAAACCCAGGCCTTCAACTGCTACCGAGGCTAGACCTTCACCCATGGCTTGCTTTGGCTTCTCACAGTGCTGAGTCTCAGCGGCTCTCCATGACACCTTCATGCCTTTAAGCCAGTACCACCTGGGAGACCCTTACACCACCAAGTTCAGCTGTCAGCACAAGGTACAACCTTGGCCACCTCCAGAACACAGCTTCTTTGTGCTGATCCTGAGGAAACACTTCAGTGATGCTGGATTCTTCTTAATCACCACATTTCTCAGCTCCAGCTGATCAGCATCAATTATCCCAGTAAAGCAAAGGTTTCATTAGTCTCCTGTTAACCACAGCTGATTCTTCAGCCCAGCTGACAAGAACCACAGGTTCTTAATTTAAATATCAAAAGGTCCCAATGAAGACTTTGACTCCCTCTAAAACAGCAGTTCTCAACCTGTGATTACATATCAGATATCCTGCGTATCAGATATTTATGATTCATACAGTAGCAAAGTTACAGCTATGAAGTAGCAACGAAATAATTTTATGGTTGGGGGTCACCGCACCACGAGGAACTGTATTAAAGCGTCACAGCATCAGGAAGGTTGAGAACCACTGCTCTAAAACTTCACAAGTCAGGCCTCCAACATCTGTATTGCTTTCAGTGTCATCCCCTAATCTTCCAGGCCAGGTTTGAACAACAGCTCACCAGGGTTTGAAAACTCAATGGCTTTTCTAGCCCAAAGTTCCAAAGTCCTTCTACAATCCTCCCCCAAACAACCTGGTCAGGTGTATCACAGCAATACCCCACAATTCTGCCACCAATTTCTGTCATAGGATTTCTACAACTGTGATGAAACACCATGACCAAAAGCAACTTGGGGAGGAAGGAGTTTATTTCACTTACACTCCAGGCAACAGTTCCTCATCGGAAATACTTAGGTCAGGAACCTGGAGACAGAGCTGATCCAGAAGCCACGGAAGAATACATATTCCCTATGGCTTGCTCAGCCTACTCTCTTATAGAACCCAGGACTGACGGTCCAGGGATAGCCCCACCCACAATGGTCTGGGCCCTTCCCTATCAATCACTAATTAAGAAAATGCACTACAGGTTTGCCCACAGCTTGATCTCATGGAGGCAGTTTCTCAGCTGAGGTTCCCTCCTCTCAGATGACTCTAGCTTGTGTCAAGTTGACATAAAACTACCCGGCACATGCTCTATTAATTTTATGTCCCTCTTTTTCGCTGTTACATCAAGGTCATTTATATGCATTAAAGTTGTTATAAACAGAAAGTACGATGGTATAGCATTCATCAGTACAAATGTACAATGATTTACTTAACCTGCTAATGTGATGAAATACTTTCATTTTTGCTTTGCCATCATAAATGGCATGTTGCCCGTGACTGTTGAATTTACCACTATTGTTTTTTTGAAGAAGACTTCTCTAGTTACAGGATGAAAATTTATGATCATTTGATGGACACTTAGGGATATGACTGTCATGTTTTCAGAAAAAAAACCATAGTTCAATTTCGATGGATAATAGCAGTGCTTTTCTTTCCTGCTTACTCTTGTTTGACATGTTTTCATTTGGGCCTAACAGCCCCCATTTCCACTAACCCCAGAAGGCCTCATGTTTACATCTTCTGTCCAGACCCTCCCTAGAGTCATCCTACCGATTGGCTTCTCCACTTGAGTATCTCAAAGAAACAAAGAGCCATATGAACCACTGAGCTGGTGACTTCCAGCTCAGCTTTCTTCCACTCTTCCTATTCCAGGCAGCTGTGGTGTAACCCAGATCTGAGGCAGAAATTTTTGATATCTCCACACACTTTTGATATCTTCTATATTACATTTCCATTTTTAGCACCAAGGAGTACTTTCCTTTGAGAGTCGCCACCACCTGTCATCAGCTGTCCTTGGAACATTTACATCAGCCTCCTCATTGGTCTCCCAGCATCGCTCTGCCCCATTCATTTATTCTATGCACTCAATCCTTACGGCCTTCTGAAAATGTGGCTCGGCTATTTTACTCTAATGATCATATACATTTAGGAATAAAGACTACAGGTAGTGTCTTAGGGTTGTATTCCTGTGAAGAGACACCACAACCACAGCAACTCTTCTAGAGGAAAGCATTTAATTGGGACTGGCTTACAGTTACGAGGGTTAGTCCATCGTCATCATGGTGGGAAGTATGGCAGCACACAGGAAGACATGGTACTAGAACAGGAACTGAGAGTTCTACATTTGGATCCTGGAACAGCAGGAAGAGCTAGTGAGCTAGCTTCAGCTTCTGAAACCTCAAAGCCTGCCCCCGTGACACACTTCCTCCAGCAAGGCCACACCTCCTTCAACAAGGCCACAGCTCCTAATAGTGCCAGCTCCTGAGCCCATGGTGGCCATTTTCATTCACACCATCACAGGTGATAGGCTGGCTCACAAAGCCTGACTTCCAGCTGAGAGTTGCCTTCATTCGTCTTTCACACTTTGTTCTTCCTTCTCTAGCTACCATGCCTCTTTAGGTTTCTGGAAAGTATCAGATGTGCTGGGCCTACAAATGCACCTGCACACGCTGCTTTCTGCCCAGCTCTCTCTGCACAGCACTTGCTCTTTCCCAGTGTCTTAGCTCAGCCACTGTGTCCACAGACATCACTTCCAGGACATCCCTACCAGGTCACCTCCTCTTTCATGCATTTCCACACTCCTCCTCAACTTTATTTCCTTCCCATCTCTTATCAAAGTTCTGATTTCAGAATTAAATTTTTTTCTCTTCTCTGTCCTCTACTCTTTCCTTCCACGCTGCTTCCCTTCTCTCTGTAATCATTCATACACACCCTGTCTTTGTTATTTATTACGCCGAACATCTGTTTTTCCATTCAGCTGGCACACATCATGAAGACAGTGAGTGCGCCATGTTTATGCTCATCATTACATTCCCCAGAGGATTTTGAAAAAATAGTGACTTAATTTTACTCCGTTTTCTCTCCACTTTCCACTCAGGTGAAATATATCCTCTTTTCTCAAGTCAAGCCAATATTAGGATTGGTGCATGGGCAGTAGAATGGCATGTGAGTGAGATAGTTTTCGTACTCTGGACTGGACAAGAGCTTTGTGCCCACAGGAACACTCCAGGACACGCAGCATGGAGCAGACTGTTCAGAGTACTGGCCCTTAATGATGGTAGAACTGTACAGTGTGCCTTATCCTCTGCTCCTAAGGAGCCAAGCTTGGGGAGCAAGATTTCTCCATGCCAATGCAGAAGAAAGTCTCCCACCCTGTGTCTCCATAGATAAATGGTATGCGGACTATTTCTCATCCTTGATGACTGAGATGTTGTCTCTGACTTTCCATGTTCATGAGAACAGTTCACTCCAAGCACCCACAGCTGAACCTATGCCACAGTGAACAAATGAAAACAAAGGCACAAGAAGATCTAACAGTCAGAGAGAGAAAGAATGGAGGAAGCTATCGGAAGGAAGACTTTGGGAAAGCAGAAAACAGAACAATAACAAGGACTCGACAAGGTGCATGGGCACATTTCCTGGTTGAGATGATTCATCTCCGTTGAGATTAGAATTTGTAGTTTTGAAGATTTAGTGATGGAAACAACCTAAATGTCCCTCAACTGATGAATGGATAATGAACATTTGGTATATATGCACAGTGGAATACCATTCAAAGAACAATGAAAACATGAAACTTGTGGGGAAATGGACAGAACTAGAAAATATACTGAGGTAACCCAGATCCAGAAAGACAAACACCACAGTTTCTCTTATTGGTGGATCCTATCAATGCATCTTTAGAGGTGAATATATCACTTGGAGTAACTGAAGATACCAGGAAAGCATAAGGGACCATGAGGTCGGGGTGGCAAGCTCCAGAGATAGGAAGAGTAGGATACAGATGCTGTGAAGGGCAGAAATGGAAAAGATGGGCTGGAAGACTTACCTGGAAGATAGGGAAGGGAGTGCAACATCGAGAGAGAA